GAGGTTGATAATGATGTTTATTTTCGGCTAACGTTTCGACGTCTTCGTCTTCCTCAGAGCCGATGATCCGAGTCGATGGTCCTAGCTTGTTATTCGTCTCGACCTGGCAGCTTCGCCTTCGTGTCGAGTTAGGTCTTCTTCAGTGACCCATCTCCTCGAATGAGGCATCCTTACTCAGTGGTGCCCTTTTATACACGATGCTGATGGTCGATATAATGATAATGTCCGGTGATAACAACTTGTTTTCACCAACACCGACTTCTGCACGATGTGCGCAATGATGTATGTCCGGAAGAAAAACCGACTTCTGCACGATGTGCGCAATGATGTATGTCCGGAAGAAAAACAAGTTGTTATCACCGGACATTATCATTATATCGACCATCAGCATCGTGTATAAAAGGGCACCACTGAGTAAGGTTGTCTCATTCGAGGAGATGGCTCACTGAAGAAGACCTGACTCGACACGAAGGCGAAGCTTCCACGTCGAGACGAATAACAAGCGAGGACCATCGACTCGGATCATCGGCTCTGAGGAAGACGAAGACGTCGAAACGTTAGCCGAAAATAAACATCATTATCAACCTCGTGTAAGCTCATCAAAGAAAGAATACATATAATTTGAATAGTTTGAATTGCCGCTCAAAACTGTGGCTGTCGAAAAGAAGCGACCGATGAAGGCTACTTGGGGGCGCCAGTGCTGTGTTGCTCTCAATATGATAGATAAGAGATAGCAGCTTCAAAAGACAGGACTTCATATGATATGAGCTGCACCTATATAATTTAAGCCGCCCAATTGCGTTTGGTTGCTCCATCGATTTTTCTCCTTTCCAATGGAACGGTTTTTTGTTTTTCTTTTCTTTTCGTTTCTTCCGTTTTATTTCTTTCATTTTAGTCTTTTCGTATTGAGTTCCTTCCTTCCTCTCACTTTCATTCTCAGATCAGTTATTGTTTTTATTGGCAATAAGACTTTCCGTGTCGATGAAGATTTGGACGCGTAACACATGACTTTTAGGTGAGATTTACTTTTCCGATTTACTATGCCAATAAAGTCAAACGTATTTTGGTCACAATATTGACTTTTTATTTACTGCCTTTTACAAGTTTTCACGACAGGGTATTATTTGTGAAACAACCACAACGATGCTGAAATATTTGCAAAACTCCGAACCGCAGGTGTCTGCAGTGGGGAACGACCGCACTATTGTCCCTTCCCGGGAGTAAAGCATTCACCACCACACCATGCGGATTCTTCCCTTCACCTTTCTCTCAGCTAGTCCTCCAGCTACGGCAGGGATCGATAGAACTAGCTAAGAGACAAGTAAAACGACCGCAGTTGTCTGCGGTAGGGAGCAAACGCGCTATTACCTTTTCCGGGGACTAACGCGTTCACCACCACACCATGGGAGTCCTTCGTTTCGCCTGTCTATCAGCTAGTTTTGTCTATCTCTATCTATCTATTTCAACATAGGTATGATTAATGTTTGTTGTAATCTATTCATCGCTGTTTTTGCTTATACTTACTTAACTAAATACTTGGATGACCCGTCTCCGCAACACCTGTGTCGCAGCACTTCTGACCTCTTTGACTCAATTTCGCTTACAGTGGGGTCGGATCCGTGTATGTGGGCTCGGCTACAGCCTCAAGCTCGAGGAGCTTGAAGTGGTTCTGGTACCACTTATGTGATGAATACTGGTCGAGCGTGTGTTTTTTTTTTTCATATAATCCCAAGATAGCCGTGCTAGAGGACAGTACTTCAAGATTCAACGATGGTTTCTTCCTTCCGCCAATGATCCGTCCGTTACGGTACTAATTCCTGAGAGTAGCCCGATCCATAGTCAATCAATCATGCTAAAAACGAATGTTAAACATAGAAGTGGAAAGTGGTCTACAACTTCATAGCGAATAATCATATAAAAAATAGTTGCTCCCCTATCTGGACAGGAAAACAAGTTTGTTCGATGCTCAAGTGCTCCCGCAAGCCTCGCTGGTCTTTCGCACAGTAGTTACCTCAATTTTTTCGAATGTGCACACGAATATACGGAGATTGCACTAACATTCTAAACTTTCCTCGTAAATTTTCATTTTTAAATTTTATAAATTTAAATTTAACGTAAATTTAATTTTTTTATTTTTCCTTCTATCCTTTTTTGGTATTTGAATGGACCAAGATAGTTTATTACATCAGCCGACTATTGTGATGATAACCTATTTTGCTCGTTCTCTCCCTGCCTCTCCTTTCTACTTTTGTTTTCTATCTTTCTCTCACCTTGTCTTCTCTGTTCTCATCCTCTTTACCCTGCAAATTTCTTTCGGCTTTTGGCTTTAGATTATTCAGCTATTTCGTAAACCGTTAGAAGACTGCCTCAGCTTATCTGGATTCTCTGCCTATTTGTGTTCTCCAGATTAATCCTGTTGTCCGGTGATTGCTGAAAAATTGGCGATAGACGAAATAAGGGACCCAGTTGGTGCGGTAGATAGCACGTTAGAGGCCAGAAAGTGTGGTCGCGGCTTCGAATCTGGTCCGCCGTCCAGGTTTTGCAAATATTTCAGTACTTTCATAATTCTGAGATATTTGCAAAACTCTGGAGCGCAGGTGTCTATGGTGGGGAAAGAACGCGCTATTATCCTTTCCGGGGAGTAACGCTTTGCCACCACACCATGCGGGTCCTTTGTTTCGCATGTTTCTCAGCTAGTTCTATCGATCTTTGCCACAGCAATCATCTGTCATCGGGATTGAGCTTGGGGGCCCAAATCGGAGTTTTGCAAATATCTCAGCATTATGAAAGTTATATTTCGCAACCTACCCTGCCATTAAAAAGAATAAACAGTAAATAAAAAGGCCAAGATTATTTCAGCACTCTTAACCTTTCATTTTCTGCCTACTATAATTTTCACGGCAGAGTGTGATGTGAAATACAACCACAATAATACTGAGATGTTCGCAAAACTTGGAGCCCGGGCCAGATCGAACCACGACTATCCTTTCTAGGTGCTCGCGTATTACACGCTGCACCACGGAGGCATTTCCTTTGCTTTTCTCTCTGCTAGTTTTTACCTGACGCTGCCATCAGCAATCAGCTGTCAGAAGGATTGATCTGGGGAGCACAAATCGGCACTGAACGCAGTTAAGCTGAGGCTGTAGTCGAAATCACAGTGTTAACCTTTTATATCTTTCTACTTCTGTTCAGCAAGCACGAGGTGCTATTTTATTTCTTTATTTACGCACAAGCTGACGTTTCGGCGGATTTCGCCTTCCTCAGAGCCTGGAAGGGTCAACTTGACAGCAATCCATTCGGCCAAACACCTCCATAACCAAACAGAGAAAACGCTAAACCAAAATTTCAATCATATTTAGCATAGCTCTGCACACTCACCGCTTTCTATGAGTCTTCCACTGAGTATGTCGCGTGAAGACCGACCGCACCAAATTCACATGGAAGCGTAATGTGCTCCTCCCATCAAAATAACAGGTTTATATACTGTCCAATATCCCGCGTGATAACGAGGCATTCCTCCCTGCGGTTCATTTTCGGATTCTTGGAATTAATCCAGACTGCCTCGAGAGTTCTGCGCGCTTGTGTTCTCGATTCTTGCGCGAGGATCGTAACCCTTACTTCAAAATCTTCTCCGTTATGTTTCTGCGTGCTATGCGTACCTAGTGGAGGATAGCAGCAGTGACTCGATACATCAGTAGGCCCTCGCGAGACATTGTAAAGGCCAGATTTGCATTCAGTCATCTCTAACGATACTTAATGAAGCCGAGTGCATTGCGCTTCCCTCAGGGATTGATCAACGTCGAGACCTTTACTCTTTATCCTTTATGTTCGATTCTTAAAATATCGCAAGGGGAAAATAAGAGGGACGGAGGAAAAAGTGGAAGAAGACTTCCGACTAGATTTTCATGTAATACTTGTGGTTTTGAGCTGCTAACAGTCGTTCATATTTTCTATAGTATTCGTTTTCCGTCTATAACTTCCGCTTTATAATATGTAATGGCATCAGTCAGCTATTGTGTTGCTGTTCTGTGTCTCTCTGCTATGATTTATCATAAAAGCCATAACAAAACACATTTGAGATGACTTATCGTCTGTCATTCGACGATATCGACCCATTGATGATGACGATGGTGACGACGATGATGATATCTGAATGGCTGAATGATTGAATGGCTTCAGACGTCTTCAAAAACTTCACTAACCCTGAGACGTTCCCTAGCTTATTCTATAGTCATTGTTTCTATACGATGGTATTCTTCGCTCCGTGAACAGATCTCTCTCTTCAAGTAGAGTTTTCAAATTTACTGTTGTTATTCTCGCCGTTATCGTCTCAGCACTAAGTCCTTATCTTTCCACATTTTCTTTTTCCCTCTCATTTCCATTCGAATGCATCTCCACTATCTGTTGCAAGTTATTTTAGCTATCTCAAGAATGTTAAGCGAGTTTGTATACGTGTTATTCATGCACATTCCAGCAGAAATGAAGAGATGTTCTACTTTTATTTTTCCCTGAAAAGAGAAATCTGGGCCAAAACCAAGAAGAGTGCAAAAAGAGATGAAATCAGAAAAGGCAGAAGGATAAAGATGACACAAGAGAAACTTTGACACTACTACCAAATACTACGGTAGTACATCTTCTGACATACACATGTCGTAAATAAACGAACATAGCACGACAAGCAAATACATACATACGTACACACACACACGGATTCCGAACCATGAATTGAAAGCAGTAACTATTCGAACATCTCTAGATTCTCAGACCGATAAGTGACTGGTTTATTACATGGTAAGGCTCGTAGCAATGCTTTGAAAAACTTCAAAATGGTGCTTTTTTCCCTTCCGCTCGATTGAAATACAATGTCCTCTGCGAATAAAGTTTTACTTTATGTATAGCCTTTATGTTTATCAAACTATAGGCAAACAAGTTAAGCTTTTCATTTGTAATTTTTGAGGACGATGTCGTTATGGCGTCGACCACGATCGCCGAGTTGGTCGATGGACTTGGACAGACACTTCGACGAGATGTCGCGCCGGATAGATCGCGCGCTCGCCGAATGTCGTCGCGACATGCAGCGATTCGAGGAGAGCTTCTTCCCAAGCTCACGTTACGGCCAAGCACAACGAGTACGTTGGAGTAGTTCTGAACAAAACCAGAAGTTATTCATGCCTATCTGGTCATTTCTAAGTCGACCTATTTGAAGCGGAACAATTTGAACCATATTTCAAGCGAGAAGTCTCAGACAATGCTTTACTGTTCTTATGGAAAACGTTGTGGAACAGTGTTTGCTCAAAAGTCTTGCTGAACTTACAATTTCAACTAACTCTCATACTGTTCTCTATGAAATAAAGTGGTGGTCCTTGTAACGGGGTAGTCTGAGGCGCCCTGCAACACACATGTGGAATCGATCCCCACGTCCATGGCCCGCCAAGCCTTCCATCCCTCCGGGGTAGGTAATTTGGTACCAGACTTGTCTGGAAGGATAGCAACACTTGCTTGATGTATCGGTAGGCCATCGCGAGTCATTGTAAAGGCAGATAAAGGCCAGATATGCATTCAATCATTTCAAAACGATGCTTAATGAAGTCGAATGCATGGCGTAGTCCTCAGGGATTGATCAACGCCGAGAGTTCTACCCTTTATTTAATGGTTGTCCGTTTGTAGACGAATTATATCGATCCAATAGTAGGGGTCAATAAAGAGTTATCCTGGTTCATTGACCTTGAGAATTTCAAAACAATAGCTCAATATCTAGTAGGATGCTAAAAGTTTATGTAAGTAAAATGGTGGCACCGAAAAATTTAAATGGGAAAGTGAAAGAAGCACACTGCTATTATGAGTTTCAGTCATTTTTTTTGACGTGTTTTTAATGGCTGAAGAGACCAGTATTCTGCTATAAGTTGAAAATCGAAAAACAAATGGCAGAAGCGGTGATGATCTACAAAGTAACTTGAATGGCTTAAAAATAACTGGGATCGAAAAGTACAAACTGAAGGAATTGAAAAGTTTCCGTGTTCCGCAAAGGCCAAAAACTATCTGGGGTTATAACCTGAGAGCTCTACGATCTGTCTATCTTGGTTTTCTGAGGAAAAACGAGCACAACCAGTTGAGAACAGATAACAGAGTCTGCACAAAGTTTGAGCTAAAATCAAACAAAAGCTAGGACGCATTCGTGGATGACGATAGTTAAGTAATAGCGGCTAAATGAATGCGTGAAATCCTGGAACCATTATGGCATGTAGAGACTGGTCATCTAATGTTTAAGTTTAACGGAAAGCAGAAGAAAAACAACGTTAAGAGAACCGGGTTAGCTTTGTACTTGCAGTGCGCTTCTTTAGAAATAAAAAAGAACTATTGCAATCCACCCTTTTCACTTCCGTAAATCGCTCATCTTTTCTTTTGAGGTAATCAACGATGATCGAAAATTTGCTGTTACACTGGATGTGTCACAATTTCACCCGGATGAAGTGAAAGTAAATCTTAAAGGACGAGATCTAATTATCGAAGGACGCCAGGAGCACAGAGATGACAACAGTTACAGAAAAAGGTAACAAAACAGTACCCTATGTTGTAAGGTATTTTAGTCGTATTTGTTAAAAAATAAACAAAATCGAATACAGCAACATTCCTCGTCAATAACGCCTCGAACACTTTACAATTGTTCGGAGATCCTCACCATCCTCCTTTCCACTTGTATAGGATAATATTCAGTTTTGAATGACAATATTGATAGAAAATTCTTTACTACCAAAAACTTTCCCAGATCTTTCTACACAGAAGGGCTTACGAAACGAAACTCTCATCGTCGTTCTACTGAATTGACTTGTACCTTCCGTGCGCGTAATCGAATTAGAGGTTGGATGCGCTTCGATAGAAACTGAAGCCTTAGCGGTTGGTAATGCGAATAGCCTTAAACCATGTCGGAGGAGACTCAGTATCGTATCCTCGTATCCAACAGATCAACTAACCACCTTTGAATGGCATGCTATCCGTAAGTATAGCCATCTTAGAGCTTGAGACTGATCATTTACCCGTTGATGCTGCCATAGTAAAACCGGTAAAATTAGTAAGCTCATAGAAAGTGTGATGTTCTTTGAGTAAATGGTCACACTGAGCAGCGTTTGTGGGCAAAACGCGACATGGATAAAACAAAGCTCTGCTGGCAGCCGCTAGGATTAACAGGACTGTTAGTGATACAGATGACTCAAAATCAAAAACAATAATGTATTCGACGCCTACTCTTTTGAGATGTCAGTAAAATATCCAAGCACACATATAATTTTGTGTGTATGAAACACTTTCCAGCCACTTTAAGGGATAAAGAATAAAGCTTCTAGCGTTGTTCAATCTCTTAAGGATGCACTTTGCGTTCGACTCCATTCGTGACATTAAAAGGGTGATTAAGTGCACGTTTGACCCATACAACGACTTACGGTGGTTTGCGGACGTATCAAGTTGGTGCTTAAGCCCTCCCAGGCAAATCTGGCAATAATTCGCCAAACCCAGTGGGATGATTAGACTTGGTGAGACCTAGAGTGTGGGATAGAACCAACAACCATATGTGTATTACGAGGCACCACTAGCCACTGCAGTACATCACAGTTTCTTCATCTCCGAATAGTAGTTAAGCTACCTTACTTGAAATTTTCAGCTTTGTTGTGGCAATCCCGTTAACAGCTAACAATACTGATTTGTCTTCTACATTACATAAGTTCTAAATTTGTATTTTATAGTCTTTTTCTTCCTCCAAGTGATTAAGTGTTGACCATTACCGATTTTAAGTTCTACGGATTTTCGTCTCAGATCGTTCGTTCGAAAATGGCAATTACCGGAAGACTCTGACGTGGACGCAATAAATTCGCGGCTAAGTGCCTCAGGAATGCTTTCCGTCGAAGTGCCGAAATTCTCGTCGTCAGGCGGTGGTCCGTATCGCACAACCGTTCAAGTTAAGCAGCCGACGAGAACACACCGAGAGACGCATATCGACTAACTCACATTACCAGTCAATCGAAGAGCTTTTGTCTGTTTTTATGTAATTATCGATCTTGTAAATATACTTCATGTATATTGCGTTTCGTTTACTCTTGCATTGTAACTGTATCGCTAGATTGAACTGTGAGCTGTTGTACCGTAGATCAGATGGAAATGATACGGTAGGACGCACGTCTGAAAACGCGTTAAGCGCTGACGAGCTTGAACGAGTCCTATATCGTTGTTGATATATTTTTGTTTGTGATATTTGTCAGCTGTCGATCGATAGGTCATCAGGCTAATGTGTGTTGCGATATAACTTTATGTCAGCTTTAGTGTAAAGGAAATTTTGTCATTTTTTATAAAGGAAATGTCAACTTATTCTAAAGAACTACAAGATCAAATGTCTAGTGCCACTTTGTTAGGAAGAAAGTATGTGTTAATGGTCAAAGAGGCGACAACATGCCGAAGAGTTCTGACATTTCCGTGATATGCAAGCTCATGAAACGCGCTGAAGTTTTCCAAGCTAAACGAAGCTGAAAGAAAACTAAGCAGATACAATACTTTGGAAACAGTAACAATCAACTAGTAAAAGTAGCTGAGAGAAAAGTGAGAAGAAAGATCCGCATGGTGTTGTCGTGGACGCGTTAACCCCGGAAAAGGTAGTAACGTGTTCGATCCCCATCGCAGACATCTGCGCTCCGGAGTTTCGCAAATACCTCAGCATCACTGCAGTTGTAACCAATTCATAAAATAATAGACAAAGCGCTTGGCCTACTGTTCGGCTCCATTACATCACAGAAATGATCGAATGCATATCTGACTTAGCCAATGACCTTACTTATGTACTAAATTGGTACTTTTCAGAAAAAAAGAAAGATAAAGCTCTCGGCGTTGATCAATTCTTGAGGGATGGGCCATGCATTCGACTTCATTAAGCATCGTTGGAGGTGACTGAATGCATATCTGACCTTTACGATGACTCGAATTGTCATTTATATGATTTACTATAACCACAGTGATGCAGAGTTATTTGCAAAACTTCGGCTCCAGGCCAGATTCGGGCCCCCGATTACATTTTCCGGGGGCTCACATGTCAACCACTGTAATCCTTTCCTTTGTCTTTCTCTCAGATATTACCCTAACGGCGCCGTCAGCAATCACCCGTCGAAGAGATTGATCTAAGGAGCAGAAATCGGCATTGAGCTCAGTTTAGCGGGGACGGTAGTCGAAATCTCGATGGTTAACTTTTTATTTACTGCCTTTCACTTTTTCACGGCAGGGTAATATGAAAGTCGCTGGTTCGAATCTGGCCTAAATTCCAAATTTTGCAAATGTTTCAGCGTTCCTGTGGTTATAATTCACATAATATCCCGTCGTAAAAAAGGAACAGCCAGAAAATAAAAAGTTAAACATATCTGGTTTGTTTTTTAAAGCAGTCTTCATTTAACCTTGGAATTAACAATCAGTGCCATTCTGGTGTGTCAAGCTAACCAAAGGCCGAATAAATCTTTTCATCAACCTCATGTTTTCTTAATAATAAATAAAGATATATACTCTATGTCTTTGCTATGTGTAAAGTGACGAAGCGGTTCAATATATGATTCTGTAATTATGAATATATCTATAGAATGACAAATAAATCTCTCAGGAAATTAAAGATAGTTTTCATTCTATGGTGCCAACAGGAAGGGCTTATGGAGTTTTTTCAGTGTCTAAACTTCTATCCTCTCTATCATCGACTCTCTTAACGATCTGTCCGGTTGTCACTGGATAAACATTTGCTCTGGTCGAAGCGCTCTCGTCGCGATCGTTAGGGATGCCCCGCAAAGCACGCATAGTTAGTTCATGGTTAAATCGGCCCCTTGGCCGTGTAAGCTTCTTTCGTGCCCGTTGAAGAACTAGCGCCTAACTTGTTTGGTAAAAGTTCCTCACGACGCCCAAAGGGCAAAGAGCCAAGTAGTGGCCAAAAATTATGGGCATTTATTGTATTAACATTACGAACCTCGCCTCATTCCAATCCGTTGAGTGTATTGGAAGTCTTTGCCGATGCTCATTAATCGAGCGGAAAACTTTGTCTCAGCAGAAAAACGAATCCGTCACGACCGCGCAGCAAGTGGTAGTTGTATCGCTGAACCATTAATGACTGTTTTTGAGAAGGCGCAAGGAGAAGTTCTGGTCACCAAAGCTATAACTCACCCAGCAAATGTCTTCTAGCTTGCTAGCGTCCAAAGTACATGTCTGTACCGGTTCGCTCACCGCTGATCGTCGAATGATTCAAACAGCTCCCATTCAAGTCTCCAAAAATGAGTGGGCTACAGTGCAGTGTTAGAGGTGCCCTGAAATACACACGTGGTCAGTGGTTCAATACTGCGCCCTGGCTTCCCAAACCTTCCTCAACTACCACAATACATTTTGCTGTGGCGTTACGATATCTCTGGTGCATTGGCCACCGCAAAATTCTTGCTACACGAGAGTACCAAGAGTCAAACTAGTATTGATAACATGCCGCTAAAGTTAAGGGCCACCGTGTTAGAAGGAATGACTCTAGCTAACGGCAAACGCTCACCATTAGAATTAGATCCAAGTTTCTTACCAGAGCGGACCATTTTTAAAGAAAGTGTATAGGATTACAAGTAGCTTGCACGAACTTAGAGATCGACTCAGTTACAACTCTTGACCTAAATCATTAAACAGACATTAGCAAAAAATAGAAGCGTTAACGCCACCACCTTTTCCTCGGGCGTTCATTGGACAGCAAGACCCAAGCGGCGAAGTGCACATCAACTTTTGCATGATTTCGGACAAACTCTCTAAATCCTTAGCCAATATAGCGAAAAAAGTTCAGTTCGTACCTCACGGCAGCAAATAAAGGTGGCATGAGTCAGCTTCGAAAAGTAATAAAATCGAAAACTATTAGATACGGAAGAACACCTTGAAAATACCTCTTTTTATCGTCGATTATTTGAAAAGGATTTCAAAGGCCAGTACCAAAAATTGAATAGAGTGGCAGAAGCGGCAGGTTTAAATCTACTGGTTATTTCTCAGCTTTAAATTGAACCACTAGCATGTCCCATCTTTTATTTGCTTACCAGTGGACATAAGTTACTATTCACCCACGATCTTCCGCCTACCGATCAATCATTTTTCAAAGCTAGACTTGTTATCAGCTGTGTAGATGGGCCCACGGATACAATAGCCTAGTTCATAAACCTAATACTTATCCAGCTGCTTCAACACATCTCAGCCCATCTAACGAATACCCAAATGTTTGCAGATTGCCTACGTTACACGTGTCCTAATAGTGCGTACGTGATGGATTCTTTCGATGTTACCGTCATTTATACAAATGTGTCGAATGACTCCTCCATGCAAGCCGTCCTCAAACACCATACGAAACACGAAAGAGGAACAAACATGCGCGGCTTCTTGATTCAGGAGTTGATCGCATTCTAAAAATAGTGGTAAAATTTCTCAAACTTCAAATAGTCTGGGAAGTTTTCTGCACAAATGACAGAGTTGGCAGTTGGAAAGTGACTGGTACCAAGCATTTCTATAGCCTTTACGTCTAAAGTAGTCCAACACTTGATTCCAGGTCATACTCTGCTGTCGATATATGGGTGATCGTTTTGTCATCTACGCAGCACAAAAGGAAATGCACAAATGTTTTGAGTTGATGAATGAACAGTCAGACTACATAAAATTCACCCCAGAGAAACCGAAAAAACTGGCTTCCATTTTTGAACGTTTAAGTTAACCTATTCCAAAGCGCCAACAATACAAAGTGGTACTGAAAGCTGACTAATAAAAACATACTGATTTATTACTTATCTGCTCACCCTTCACACACGAAAGGGCGGCTTTCAAAAATATGTTTCGAACAGCCACCAATGTGCGCACAGGAAGAAATCAGACGGAATAACCCTTGAAATTGGCGCACCAAATAGCCATTTCCAATGGCAACGAAACTGTAGCCTGTCGAGATAGAATTAGTACCACGACCCTAGATGATATTTCTAGCGACTATAAAGTCCACTTTATCCTGCCCTTCATTTCCAACGAGATAAACATTACTACAAAAAGTTGCTTGAAAAAGATCGTTAAGAAAATCGGCAGAAATGGTTGACTGCGTAATTCTTTGCAAAGCATGAGAGGAGGAATACATTATCTAGAGGGATAGGACGCTCTTGATTTGTATAAAAGAGCACTAAGTTCGAATACTTAGACTTAAACAAAGCACTCTACTACGCACGCAGAAGGCACAAAGGCATAACGGGAAGATTTTGAAATAAAGGTCAGTCTCCTCGCATAGAGGATGAAGGATGAACCTCTCGGCGCTGATCAATTCCTGAAGGATGCGTCATGCATTCGACTTCACTAAGCATCGTTTGAAGGCGATTGAATGCATATCTGGTTTTTAAAGTGACTCGCGGCTGCCTGCCGATGTATCGAGCCAGTGCTGCGCTAATTTGCTGACCACGGAGGGATGGAGGGAAGTAGAAAACGGTGGGTTTTGCTGATGTTTTGAAAGTGTTTGACTTAATAGATTGCGTAGCGTTTTGACCTTTCCAGGCTCTGAAAAAGGCGAAAGCACCGAAAGGTCAACCAATACTGAATAAATCTTGCTATTAACAAACTCCGAGGTTAATTGCAAGTCGGATGTGAAAATTTTTGTTCCGTCGGATCAATATAGGAATACGGTGAGCTAATTTCTCTATTTCAAATTGATTATTAAATTGACATCATGACCTCCTAACTAGCTATTGCAAGTAACAAGTGGTTCTTTTCAATGTGTACTAAACAGTTGGAAGCAGTACTGACACGGCTCAGAAGAGGCTAGAAATATTCACCATCGCATCTGTAGATGGGGTAACACCATTCTTCATATTAAAAAAAAACCTATAATAGCTGAAGGAGAAGACAGACATCCGTAAAAAATTAAAACAGAGCTTTAAAGCGAGTGGCACAAGTTTGCAACAAAACTTGACGAATTACACCCAATGTTACTAAACGTTGAGG